TTCCTGGCTCTCAGTGATGTTGCATAGTGCTTCCTTAACTTCAGATTGATGAGCATGCTGCGGACCCCCTCCCCCCCTCTGCTTTTTTTCGCACTTCAGTGCCAACTCAGAATACACTGTACTCTCACCTCCTGTCCTTGCACAAGTTAGAAGACTGTGTGTTCACGACTTAGGAAGATACAGTGCTGCTGCAGCTCAAAGACAAGGTGTGCTTACGGCAGAAACAGACCCCACTGAATTAGCGTGGGAAGGGGTTGCTGTGGGGGCTGCAGCCTCCACTGCTGGCCAGAGTAAAACACAGTGGAAATATAATTTTACCTTTTAAAATAATAATAATAAAAAAAAAACATTGAACAGTTTCCTTTCAAGTGCTTGTGAATGCATTGCAGGCTGTTGTTGTTCAAGTGTGAAAATGATTCGCACGTATCCAAAGCAAACTTTAAGTAGCTAAATGAGCAGAAAAACACATTGGATTCACAGAATAACACAGCACAAATAAGCACAGAGGTTCTCTTGTTGGAAGGAGACACATTTCAGTCTCTCAAAGAGCCTTATCTTCAAAGTCAAGTTGCTTTGCTTCGGCACTTTGAAGGTAAGAGTTTTACACTCCTCGTGGTGAGCAAAGGGACTTGTGTTTTGTCTTGTTTATATGTTACACCATGAGGAAAACTCGCAAATACTTTTAAAATCTGTTATTTTTGCTTCTGGAAGATAAAGTTGGTGGCATCTCTGTGAAAACATTTTCATGAAAGGGAAATATTCATACAGGCGTGGGTGCTGGTGCAGTGAAATGTTATTCTCTCTAGGTGCTTGAGAACGTAGGATTAAAGCAGCAAGTCGTCTGATCACTGAACATCTTTAATTAATATGATCTCTATTTCCTAAAATATCTGTTATGTTATTTTTCAGCTGATTGTAAAAGACAACAAGTTGGTGCACACTAACCATCGACTGGGACCCCAGTTAGAGAGAACCGCCTGCAAATGTACTTTATCAACTTCTGAAATGAAAACCAGGTGGAAACTAGAAACATTCGTTCTGCATCCCAGACGAACCTGCTTGTATTAGGAACTGCCATAATTGTACACTAAATTGTGTCTCTGACACTGTTCCACATTCCATTCCTGAGAGAAAAACCTTTCATCGTCTTCCTTATCCAGATTATTCTGCAAAGCCATTATATCAACCAGTGCGTGTTATCTGTTTTACTGTAAATCATTTAGACGTGGTCCTTCCTGTTTGGCTTTGGATTTAAACTAATGAAGGAGGAGGCAGATACCGCAAAGGGAATTAATGTGGCGGGTCAGGACCCAATGCTCGAATGAACTTAGTGCAGATATGCAAAGTAATAATTTACAACCTTTATTTATCCAATGAAACCTGACAGAAGACACATGCTGGTTTCCATCACCTCCCTGAAACATATTCACACACCCTTTAACCCTAACTCCTGAACCAATGCAACAACTACCTCTACATCTGGCGGGATTTAAATGCATCTAAAAAGTATCTCCACTGCCCTTGGTCTCAAAATTTGAACCAGTTATATTCACAAGCCATTTTCATTGAAGCCCAACACAGCCACCACCTAGCTGATGAAAAGGAGTTAATAATAATACCAATAAAATGCTCTGTAATACAGCAGAATCAAATAAAAGCTCAGATATATGCACATTACTATTTTAACAGAGATCTAAAAGCATGGGGTTGTAATATTTATAGCCTGTTTTATGTTCATTTCAGGCCCGTAAAGCTGATGTGGTACAACAACGGTTCATAACAACAGGACAGCTCCAAGTATCTGCGAGAGAAAGCATAACAGGCGTATGTCTTCACTCAGTGAAAGGTGAAAAAACAAGAACCAAGTATGCACACATTGACAGAGCACACACCCATCAGATATTGGCTAGGGATGTCAAGAAAAAAATAAAGTAGGTCAGTTTATATGTCTCGAGTGAGATGGGATTTCTGCCTCAAAACAACCATTTATCTTGGGGGCCTCCATGTTAACACACTAACAAGACGGCTACCATTCACTAGAAACCTGCTGAGGAGAAGACTGAAACAGAGAGGAGATATTATAAATGGAGAGATGAGAATGTAAAATTTATAAATTCTATAAAAGGGAAAAGAGAGGTTAGCAGATTATACAATAAGGGAGGGTATTTTTATTTGATTTATGTTTATATTAGTTGGTGGTAAAGCTATACACATTCTTAAGTAAAAGTACTGATTAAACTTCTTTACTCAAGTTAAAATGAAAAAGTACATGTTTACCAACAGTTTGTCTGTGCAAAGCTAACTGAAACTTCAAATAGGGATGAGTCTCCCTCTCTCTCCCACCCTCTTGCCTTTTTTTGTCACGTTATCGTCATTGGGAAGGTGTGCAATCATGCAAAACATAATAATATTCCATAAATCCCTAAATTGCATCAAAACTAAAGTAATGAGCCTGTTTTGAAAATGTAAGGAGTAGAAAATATAGATATTTGTGTAAAAATGTTAAAAGGTTCTGTAGAAAGTTGTCAGAAATATAAAGTAAAAGTGCATACGGATACATGAAAAACTAATTAACTACAGTAACTAAGTATTTGTAGTTTGTTACTTTCCTCCTCTGGTCACTGTTAACTTTATAACCACCACCAGATGCTTAAATGACCCTTTGAGTACCCCGACATTAACAGAGTGAAGTTAACCCAGATTAAATTAATTTTACAAGCCAACTGACTCGCTATTTCATGTGTGAACAAAGTTCGCTGGTGCTGGAGAAAAAAAATAAATTGAATTAAATTAATAGAAGGAAATAAAAGAGTAGAGAGAGAGGAAATCTCAGTTTGTTAAATTCCACAGGGTGAAAAGAGGACAAGAAGAGAAAAGAGCCTGAATTACAATGATTTTACAAGCCAACCAGCCACTTTTGTGCTTTGTGTATGCACTGTAGGTGTATAGCTGTGGCCTTGGCAAGGCGCCCCCCATGAGGAAGGAAGGCTGCATAATACTGGAGGCCAGAGGTGAGACTTTCACAGCTCTGCACAATACATATTCAATACGTACAGGGCCCTGGCTGCACTACTGCAAGAGCTTAATTAAAAAGTAACAGTTCCAATACATCGGAGTCTGGCTGACCCGCATCCCCTGCTGGCTCAGTATGCCTGTTAACGTTGTGGGTGTGTGTGTGTGTGTGTGTGTGTGTGTGTGTGTGTGTGTGTGTGTGTGTGTGTGTGTGTGTGTGTAGTGGGATTTTGGGGGCAATTGAAAAGAAAAATGAAAAACAGTTAAAGTCAGACATAGGATACACACTTGGTGCATTTAAGCAGCTGTTAGCATTTGAGTAAAAGAGAATGTATGTGCACATGTGTGTGACTTTGAAGACATGAATTATTCACAATAACCCTAGGCAGTGGTATATAGCACGCTTCTGCCTTGTGTGCACACGTCATGCACGTGTATAGGTGTGTGTGTGTGTAAATGGAGAGTGTGTGAGAGAGTGCGGTTCAGCCTTATGCTGTGGATCTAATCCACTATGACAAACCTCTGACATCACATGAACAACAGGCATGCTGAGCAAATCTACTCATTCATAATAAATGAGAGAGTGAGAGAGAGAGAGAGAGAGAGAGAGAGAGAGAGAGAGAGAGAGAGAGACAGAGAGAGACAGAGAGTAGAGAGTAGAGAGTCTCCGGGGAAAAAGAAATAAAAACACTAAAAAAAGGAATAAATAAGCCAAGTATCTCTATTCTTGGCAGCCAGCTTTTCACCTTGAAAAAAAGTCTGGGGTTCTTTTACTGCACGCCATAATACATGTGACCTCAACCAGCTAATCATAAGAAAGAATAACAATCTTTATAAAATAAGAAAATTACAAAAAAAAAACATTATGTAAGAGTTAGAAACAATCTAGGTTTAGTGAAAAAGCAGTCCCTGACTTTGCCATTCAGACGAGAAAGAGGACATGATTGGATGTCATGTCTTTACATTTCCTGTACCCGAACACTGCAATCATACAGGAAATGCCATGAGTAATTTCAGAGTGAGTGATTATACCTTTAAGCATGAATAGCTATAACTTCCTGTGCTAAAAGGCAGCCGGTGACAACAATAAAAAAGGAAGACTAGAACATTTTAGAAAATCAACACAGAGCCGTGCTGCAGTGCTAAAATCTCCTTCTTTTTTCCCTGATGGTGTTGGTCAAGCCCCTATAGAAACTTAGTTATTTAACAAGGTTGATGAGTCCTGGCTTCATATTTTATTGCTGGGGTGCTTCAGTTGGGCTGCAGTCCGTAGGCGGAGTGGGGCACTGAAATCCCACGGGTGGTTGGGGTTGGTGAGGTGGAGGTACTGTGTGAGTCCCTGGGAGTTTTTTTACTCACAGTCTGACTGCTGCTGGGTCATCCATTATTTAACACACACACACACACACACACACACACACACACACACACACACACACACACACACACACACACACACACACACACACAAACACACCCACATGGCCTTACACAACTGTATATTTAAGTTCCCACATTTTGGGATTCTAAAGTAGCCCTGATGCAAAACTCCATTACTTTTCCATAACAAACTTGGAATATGATATGAAAATGTTATTTCCTGGTTTGTTAAGGCGGATAATGTGGTTTACTCTGCTAAGGAAATCCATCAGACTGTAATAAATGTGGGCAATAACTTGCAATAACTGAAAATGCATTCATATATATTCCTGTAAAATTGTGTATTTGTATTATTTTCCACCAATTTCTGCAGAATTTCAAAACAAGAGACATCTGATTCTGGATCACGGCGAGAATGACAACAACCTAGAAATTCAATGACCAGCAGGAACCCTTGTATACAAACACACACATAGTTTTTTTTTTCATTGCAACTGAAAACACCCCAAAAAACATCCTGCTCTCTTCCCCACAAGCCTTTGCTCAAGTCCATCAAGTTATAAATAATTCAGCCGACCGCTACAAAGTAAGAACAACCCACTGCTCACCATTCATTCTGATCAGGCAGCTCGTGGATCCAGGGCACCGGGTTCTCTCCCACAAAGCCCATGTCATCGTGGGAACTGGAGGATGATTGGTCGGAAAGGTGGGCAGGAAGCAGGGGCGGCCTATCGTCTTCGATCATCACCGTGTCGTCCTGCGGCATGTTCACAGTCGGAGAGAGCTGGTAGTTACCTGACAGAAGGGGGAGCGGGGGGGATTAGACAACATATAGGACTATTTGTAAGAATTTTTTCACGTTTATATAACACAATGTGGCATTCGTACAGAAGGTTTTTTTAAACATCCAATTAGTGGTGTCTGATAAAAAGTGTGAAGGAATCAGATTAAGAAAATATGTGCACAAACATACCTCCACAGACATGTTTGTGTAAACACAATAATTTTATCTTACTTCAGTAATTACCAAGATAAAACTGTATACAGAGATAACTTTGGCCGAGATAATTGTACTATTAAATTTTCACATCAGGACATGCCTGAAGGACACCAACATTTCTCAAAAAGGGTAAATAACAGTGCTTATCAGGTACAATTTTGCAGAGCTGCATGCATACAAAGATGTTGCATGACAGGACGATATCCACTGAATGGTAGCAGGCTCAGAACACTCATGAAAATACACAAAAATGCACAGCACGGACACAAATGACAGGGCAAAGTAAGCATTGAGACTCACAGGAGAAGAAATAATCTACTCTCTTTATGGCACAGTCAAAAAGTTGTGGACCCGAGTAGTTTTATCCATTCTCCTTCACTCTTCTCCAAGGACAAATATGAGCAGAAGAAGAGCTCCCCTGATCTGTATTCTGTCCTGCCTGACCCTCCCTGCTGAGGACTTCTTTGAATCGCTCCTTTGCTGCTCCTCAGGAGTCAAAGTCAATGGGGAATGTGCTGCCGTGGCTGGCACTCAGCACCAAGGGCAGGAGACGGGTTGTTCAACGGCATGAGAAGTGGCATTACAATACTGATTCACTCTGCAAATTGATCACTGCATGACTTAAGTGTGGACGCATAAAAAAGGGGGGAATCAAAGTCAAGACGAGTCACAAGGTCAGACGTCAACCACACACCTGCTTACTATTAGACAAAGGTTTACAGAAATGCTGAACTTCCTGGTCTTTGCTTTTGTTTCCATTATCGGAGAGCCGTTTTGCAAATTTAATAGCTAAGAAACAATTGGGTGTAATCACTAACAGCAGACAACAATATTTACCCTGGCAGGATCCCAACGTGAATCTGAGAGGCATTTAATTTCACTGGGGCCCGACGAATGATAAATGCATATTGTGGAAGTAAATCTGAGCACCAATCAACGCGGCAATGAGGTGTACAGTTTAGTTTAGGTATTTGTGCAGAAAAAGAAAAACAAAGACACAAAACAGCTGTGCAGGGGAGGACAGAACCAAGGCTTAGAAAGGTCCTCCCCAAAAAAGTCAAACAACAAACAGAAAATCAAGCAGATTTTAAGGTCACATGACTGGTGTTTATTATTTTATTCCCATCAGGACAAGTGGCTTCCGCATCTGTTAATTGATTCTTTAGGAAGCCTCCTCTCTTTGTCTATGGACTGCTCATCTAAACCAGTTAAGATGGCTGCCAACACTGTACAGGTGAAATGAAGGCCATTTCTCACTTGGGCAGCTTGACAGAGAACCATGGGTAATTGAATTCACTCTGTACTGTAAATCTGCAGGACTGGAGTAATGACAGTGAGAAACTCCAGGAAGTCGGTGAGACTAAGCTAGACCTATCACTTTTATAGCAGGCAGACCATGTGGTTCAGACATTCATTACAGCAGTGTTCTTTAAATCATAACTAGTGATATCTGCTTTTGTTGTATGAAATAATTAAAAAAAAAGGTTCTGGTTTGACCTCCAATTTATCCAATGCAATGAAAATAATTTTCCATGCCCAAACAGGGATTATGATGTAGTGTATAGCAACACCTGTGGAAGTTTGTCTAGTTATTGTGACAATGTCTTTAAAATGTTCCCAGCTTTAAGGAAAAGATTGGGAAATCTGCATATGGGGAAAAAAGACATTTACTATTTGGTATGTTTGTTTCAATACTGTGTACATTTACAGAATCTTTCTATATATTTTGTGTGCTATATTGTTATGTGTGCCTTGCCCTCTATACAATAGTTTAGCTTTGTCCTCAGAGTCCTTGCACAACTCTTGCAAGTCATCTCTCAAACACTCTTCCTTCCAAAATCCAATACTTCCCTCCTCTGTTGTCAGTGTCTCTGTTTTACAGCCAGTTTAGCAAAAGTGTGGCAGTGTCAGTAAGAGATGCCCTGCGGTTGTTCGTCCACAGGGGCCATCCTTATACCAGCCTTTACCTTCCGTTAGCTGTTAGGTAGAGTTACCTCTTGGTTGCATCAGCAGCACTGAGAATTTCACTAGAGTAGTCACTTGGAAAAGATTTGGGAAATTTTGTCAGTTTACAGTAGTGGTAATATAACAGGAAATACTGTTCCCCCCCCAAAAAAAAGCTCTGTAAAAGGTTAACACATGGACATGACATTTTTTAGGCATTCACAATATGCACTCTTCAAGACAATACATAACTTACAATCACCTTACATTCACTCATGCCAGCAGACCACTAGGACAGTTTTTAATTAGAAACTCGGCAAGCTTCCCTCTCCCAGCATTATGAAATATTTCAAGACAGGACCTCTTGACACAAGTGGCCAGCTCTGCAGATGAAGAGTTGTTAAAGTCATTTCACTTCCCTCTTTGCTAAGTAGCTAAAGGACACACATACAATAAATGGCTAGTGGACAGGTACAGTTGGGGCCATGGTTTGAAAGGTGAAAATAATTAGAGAAACTGCAGCACTTGCTTTTCTGCAGCTGTCAGCACAATTAAGCATAAAGGGAAATCACCCACACACCACTAATACTTGTTGTAGCATTAGACAAGTTAGCTGTGAAAATGACTGTACAGTACAGCTAAACTGGAACAATGTAGCAGACAAACTAAAGCAGACTAAAAGAAGATGCCTTAAGAACACTATGTTTATGTGTTTAATGCATGTTTTAAAAAAAAAAACTGGACGGAGACTGATTAAAAGCAAAAGGCCGAGTGGGAAACAGGCAAAATCTGGAGAGGAGGAAGAATTTTCAGCACCTTCAGTGGTGTTTTGGCACAGTGAGGTGCAGATGGCTCTGCTCACTCTCACACTCACTTTGTCTTTTACCAGCGCCTCACAGTTGGTGACGAGGGGGAAAACGGGGCAGGTGACAATACCAGCAGAGACACTTCACTTCAGGAAGATGGACAGACAGTGTATACAGTATGTGTGTGTTCAAGCTAGAAGTAGCTGGTGCACTGAGGCAATTGAAAGTCAAGGCTGTTCATAATGGAGAGGCGATTCTGAAGGCAATCTGAATGTATTCTCAGCGCTATGTTTGAAGTCTTCTTTTATGTGCCGTCTCCGTAGTTTACATCATCTCGCTTAGGGAAGGTCATCTGAGCTTACTGTTGTATTTAGGTTTTGCCTAATGCCACCATAGCAAAAATAACCACAATTATCTAAACCTGAGCACTGTGAATGCAATTACTGTTTTCACCAAACCCCAGAACCGCTATCTTGGCCAGAATCAAAACGCTGTTATTGAGCTTGTGATGACCTCGGCGATCCTGAAAACACTGGAGCCTTTCATGCACTCAGTTTGTGGAATGAAAGCTAAAGAAAAGAAAAAAAACCCATTAATATTATGATGGCGTCACAAATGAGTCAGCAGTCACACTTATATCTTAGGGAAAAGTACATGAGGTCACATGGAGATAAATATCACTCAAATTATGATTAATGGTTAACAGAAGCTTGCTCTTTCACAAAGGGGCTGTGTGGTATTTGTTAAAAAGCTTCTGATTTAAGCTACCATCCATGTAGTAAAGGAAAGAGTTTTCTGGCGACATGATTGTGCCACTGTGGCCTTTGTCACGCTGTAATTAAAGATAGCTTCTCATGAGTCATGCTGACAGAAACAGACACACACCACCCACCACCTCAGCACCCACCACTGCAGTCAACATCCTGCTAAAAACAAACACAAGTTGTTGGGTGGGGTTTATCATGTAGTAGTAATATTGTAATATAGAGGCTAACAGGCTCACAGTTAACAGCTGAAACATATTAAAGCCAATGTCATTACAGCAGTTGTTCATTTTAATGTTAGAACATAAAATGTTACTGTAACTGTGGTTTATGGACAAAATATTTGCAACACTGAAACAGAAAAATGGGGGGAAAATAATATATTTTTTCAGTTTCTGCTTGAATGAACAGAGCTGTACACACGTTACAGTCACATTATAGTCATGCCATCCTATCAAATAATTTAATCAGTAAAGTGAAAGTCACGTGTTTGCATGACTGTACTGAAGCACACGCAGCCCTCTGGCTAGCCATGCTCAGCGTGTGGAAGCTTTTCCATGATATCGAAGCAGAGATGTTCTTCCTCCCTCTGGCAGAGAGTGAAGACAGAGACAGATGAGCTCTCTGGCTCGAGAGGCCACCTGGCTGCATCCATCCAAACGGATCAGAGCTCTACTCTCCTCTTTCTCTGCCCTCTGACCAAGCGTTGCCCGTTGAAACATTGAGCTGTAAGGTGAGAGGTCACACTAATAGCCCCACTCGATCTTCTTTCTCCTACACCATTTCTTCCATCTATGTCCATCACACACTCGTACACTTTATTCTCCTCTCTCTCTTTCTCTCTTCCTCTCTCCTTCAGTGACATTTTGGCCTATTGATCTGACTGAAGGAGAGATCATTAGTTGATCCGCTGCGCTGCCGCAGCTATCAGGTGGTGGATTGCAGCCGGTAATCATCCTAAGTACACACTGGTAAAAACCAAAGACTTATGCTCACCAGGGGACACTGGTGCCATTTTCTAAGGGTGCTTTCACACCTGTAGTTAGATTCATTTGGTCAGAGCACAGGTTTGGACCAAGAAAAAAAAAGATATCTGCATTTAATGCTTCTTATGTGTATATTTATGTTCTCTAACTCAAAAGAAACAACTGATTATGAGCATTATTTTTATTTTTAGACTGCAAATCGACCGTGTGTTATGAATAATGACGAAGAGGGAGAAACAATGCAGAAAAGAGGTTCAGCATGTGCGATCACTATGTCACACAACCTTTTCACATA